AAAAAACTGTCCTTGCGTCCAGTTGTTCTGGTGTGCAGTGCTCTATAGTGTCGTTTTGAGGGTAGGAGTTGAAACAGTTTATGTCCAGGATGTGAGGGGTCTGTTAAAAAAAAGCTGTGAAGAGAGCAGCTGGAGTTCAATGTCCTTTCGGTACTTGAGTAAGGACACTGGCGTAATCCTAAAAGCAGGACAAAAAGTTATGGATTGAAATTTATGAAGGAGAGATCTAACATAGAACTAAGGAGAAATTTCTTGATAGTGGGAATAATTCAACAGTGGAACAGCTTTGCCTTCAGAAATAGCAGTGTTCCAATACTTGAGGGGCTGCCACAGAGAGGAGGAAGGGGCCAAGCTATTTTCCAAGGCACCCGAAGGCCAGGCAAGGAATAATGGATAGAAACTGATCAAGGAGAGATTCAACTTAGAAATAAGGAGACATTTTCTGGCAGTGAGAACAATCAACCCATGGAACAGAAGTTGCCCTCGGTAGTTGTGGGAGCTTCATCACTGGAGGCTTTCAAGGGGAGATTGGACTTCCATTTGTTGGGGATGGTGTAGGGTCTCCTGCTTGGGCAGTATGGGGTTGGACTAGATGACCTACAAGGTCCCTTCCAACTCCGTTATTCTATTCTATATTTAAATGTTGTGGATGCTCACCACTGGAGTCTTTTAAGAAGAGATAAGACAGGTATTTGTCCAGAATAGGTGACCTGCTTGAGCAAGGGTTTGGATTAGAAGAACTCCAAGGTCCCTTCTAACGCTATTATTCTGTAATTTATACACTTGGTGATATTTTCCTCCATGCCTGTTTTTTTTTTTCTCTCCCTCCCAACAGGGACAAATTGAAATCAGTGACCAAGTGGAGGGCTTACAGTATTTGGCTTCCCAATATGAGTTCATTGATTTAGACCGCGTTGGCATTCATGGTTGGTCCTATGGTGGATTTCTTTCACTGATGGCCTTGCTTCAGAAGCCGGAGACCTTCAAGGTTGGTTCCCCTGCCACGGCCCATTCACTTCCTTTGGGCACGTGTGATGTGGATGTACAGAAGAATCAGGGGTGACACAAGAGCAATATTCCAGTATTTGAGGGGCTGCCACAAAGAAGAGGGGGGATCCCCCTGTTTTCCAAAACACCAGAAGGCCAGGACAAGAAGCAATAGATACGGTTAGGCTTTGATCAGGGGTGGGATGCAAATATTTTTACTACCAGTTCTGTGGGCATGGCTAGGTGGGTGTGGCTAGGTGGGCGTGGCTAGGTGGGCATATCTAGGTGGGTGTGGCCATGTGACTGGGTGGGAGGAGAGGGGCGGGGCCAGCCAGGGGCACGGTTTGCCAGTTCTTCTAACTGGGCAGAATCGTAACAACCTGTTAGGTATAACATTGATACCAAATATGGTTTGGGTGAATAAATATATAAAACTTAGATATCATGGTTTAAGTGCTTATCACTTTAAGCAAAATGCAGCAGGCAATTAGCCGATTAAGGGTGCGGTTAGAAGTTACAATATAAGGAAGCATTAGAAGCTGGAATACTTACTGGCTGTAAATCTGTGCTGGCTGTAACTGTGTGCTGCTGCGACTTACTGTGATTACTGACTGTGAGTGCCTGTGACTGAACTGTTATCGTTTGCTACTGTTTGCTGATTTACTGCGTAATTCTACTGAATATCCAGCGTTTGTTTCTCTTGAGAGTGAAACCGGAGGAGGAGAAGATATCTTTATCGGCTGATAAAG